AATTCAGTTATTTTTATTCTACTATTACTGATGACCAGAGGTTGGCAGGCATGAAATTGGATTTTGTCTATAGACATCAGTGCCAATAGAATGTGATGTTTTCCTGTTAACTCAACTGCCCAAATACCTACTAAATAAGAAACATTACAACTTTATTACCACCCTATAACATAGGATAAAATCACAGGGATAATCAAGTTATGAGCAATTTCATTTGATTTTATGTAACAATTTTTTCCCCGGGATAACAATTTCTTCCTTCGTATTCTGCATCTCCGAAAGGTACTATTTCGAGAAATACAAAAAAAGGAAACTATACATTTGTAAGCCCTGCACAAATCGTATGAGGCCTATAAGGATAAGAACTATATGACCAAAAATGTTTTTGAAAATATCACGATAAAACTTCTATTGACACTTGTTACCGATATGACTATGGATACTATGTTGACTTATTTGCGCAGTATTAGTATTCTTAGCATTGAGGTTAACGCACACTTTTCATTATGTTCCATTACCATGGCTGAGGCTGAAGATCTCGGATAGCCCCATTAAATTATTCTTCTCTTGTTTCTTCACCATTACACTTCATCTCTTTGTCCTCATCATTACTTTCAACTGAGAGCTTATCACATGTTATGGGCTCATTGACAGGTGAATGGATCTGAAAATATAAAAACAAAGAAAAGGGACACTTTTAGTCAAACGAGATAACTGGAGCACCTATCATGACATAGGCTTTACAACTTTTCACAGTTTTGACTTCAGCAAAATGTCTAAACGTCGTATCATTTAGTTCTACATGAAGTATCAGAATTGAAAAAGATGGCAGGGTTTTCTTCTTTAAAAAACCAACAAATATAAAAATAACAACATTTATAAAAGACTGTTTTGAATCATGATCATAGCGTTATAAAACTAGAAAAATCTGAGTGCTGGGTCTTCTTTAAAATTAATCTGCAAATTCGACGATAATGTATCCTTTCTGATTGCGGATAGCCTACACTTACCGCTTCAGAGATGTCCAACCAATCCAAAGCACTCATCAATGGGTCATTCTTTGATGGTAGCTTATCCCAATTCCAGTAAGTGAAAGAACGAAAATTTCGAATGGCATGAAATTTTCTTTCTGCTTTCAATGACTTTGGCTTCAATGTTTCAAGAAAAACCACACCACAATGTGAGTCCGGTAAGTTAATAACTTTGCCAGAAAAAGGTCTTCCACGAAATGAAACTTCTTGAGCTGAAGGGGAAAATCAAAAGAAAAACCATGGGAATTAGAGAAAAATACAAAAGTACTTGCATTTAAAGAAAAGTGCTAACTGGCAAATATGTCTCTGAAACATCTTGCAAAAGAGGGTGTGGAGAACAAGATAGTCTTAACGTCCAGTTACATTTTACTATCAGCCAATGTGAATGCATCATTGACTTGCGTTCACAAGGATGACTTGTAAAATGGAGTGTTGCTTATTTCTGAATGCTTCCCTGCATACTTCAATTGGCTCCCTTGGTTGTGGTCATAGTTTCAGCTTTTTACGTTTGGGCATATCAAAATAAGTCAAAACTTTGGATAGTTCTCCTGCATTATAATTTGATGGTCTTGCTCAAATCACTAAGGCACTTGATGCATCCAAATGCTGGCAAGAATAAGTGGTCACTACTAGAGACGGATCCAGCAATTCGGCAATACCGAATTTCCTCCATTTAAATCTATGTTAAAAAGACGATACTTGTCGGAGCACCGGGCCTCTCTAAGAATCAATACATCTATACAGGTTTAAATGGAGAAAAGAACATGTTACCAATTTGCTGTATCCCCCAATGGTCACTACCTTGATTAATGAAGCTTGGGCCTTTTCACACTACCAATTAGTTCAGTTGTTCTAAGGAGGCAGGTTATGGAAGAATACTAAAAACACTGAGCTTTCAAGGGCATCTAGTGAAATACTGGAGATAAAGTAAGGATATACTTACTTAGATCGTCCTTTTCTTCAATGAAACGTGAGAAGTACTGCGAAACGCTTGCTTTACAGTCTGCCTGAA